ACACAATTCCTCTCTTTATGAGGCAACACAGTCCAACAGCCCTGAACACTTTTGAGTACAGATTGGTTGTTTGAATGTTTTCTTCTGCAAGGTATAAGCTTAAAAGGGTTGTGAGATATGCACATGTGTTATTGTGGGTTTGAGGCTGTATCAATGTCTGACACAACACTGGCATTAAAATATATCAATAAATTACATTAAAGTGTTGTTCTGCTGTAATTGGACTTATTTCTAATGAACATGAGGTGACTCAGAGGATGTTCAAGTTGTTTTTCAAATATGACCTTTATTGCTTGGCCTTTTGGAATGAAATACAGAAATCTCTAACTATGTTGCATTTTGGAAAGAAAGTGTTGGACTAACATGCTTTACAAACACTTTTGTTTCACCTGTCTCTGTAGTTGGAGCCTGGAGTGTCCTCTGTGCTGGTCAGCACAACAATAGAGTGAGGACGTGTGATGTGCACGGCTGTGGAGCGTTCAACTCCCACAAGTGATTCTTCCTGATAAGATCCTGAGCTAAACCCTCGGAAGATAACTCATGCTGCAGCATCAAAGCTGAGGAGTTGATAATGCAGCATTTCTGATAACATCTATGATCATGATCTATTCTAAGGGAACAGAAAGTCTAAAGTTATAGAGAAGATCAGTCCAACTTTTCCCCCATGACTGGGCAGACATGAATTGCATCCATAGAGAGACATAATAATTAATTTCCTTGAAATGTGACTAATTGAAACAGGCCTTGTTCGATGTCTGTGTAATTCCAATATTTCCTCTTGCTCTTCTTACAGAGGTAATGACCTACATAAAGCAGTGGACCTGGTGTGTGATGACTTTGGTATTATAGGCGCTCCGTTCTCAGGCTCTTTGGCGGGTCCAGTTAGTCGTAAAGAGTCTGCTGGGAATCAGTTCGATGGGGTCAAACTTCTCAATGATGGTAAGGAGGACAAGATTTCAACAGCACTCGGAAGTGGGTGCAACAAGCAAAATAATCTTCTGGAGAATGTGAAAAAAACATATCAAAAATACATATGATATATAATATCAACCATGTTAAAAATCAAGACTTTTATGTCCGATGAAAAAAAACAGGTTAAGAAATCTATAGCCACATAAGAAGCTGTGTGAGACAGTAGTTCTAATGGCAAAGAAAATCAACCTGTTAGATAACCCATGATGCTGTTTGATATAACATCAAGGGGAGCACCAAGGTCATTTTAATATCCGTACCGAATTTCTGGCAGTCGAGCTAATATTTTTTGAGATATTTTAGTCGATTCTTAACCCTCCTGTTGTGTTCGTTCCCCCCCCCCCCTTACCAAATTTAATTTAACACCCTTTCAAACTGTACATATTGTATCAGACTACTGGTATACATGAAAAACTGCAGTAAATAAACAAAGAACAGACAATGAACATGTATTGCGTGTGCCAGGTGTGATCCATGTGGGGGGATGGGCACATAAGAGCGGGAAATGCATCAAATTGTTCTGTGTGTGTGTGTGTGTGTTTGTTTGTGTGTGTGTTTTATCTGATCCGGATGGTTACTAATTCCTTTTCTTTATGGCGGCCATTTTTTACCGGGAACACCATGGGTGTTACAAAGTTGGCTAAATCATCCAAAATTCAATTAAAGTGGTGGTCAGCAATTTTATATGTTCAAATTTCTACTGTGAAGGATATCATAAAGCCTGAATGTAAAACAAAAACGTTAGGATTGATGAAAGTAGTAAATCGGTCAGATTTGACCCGAAAACAACAGGAGGGTTAAATGGTTGACCAACAAACTGCGCTGATATCGCCACCTTTAGAGAGATGGCTAAATATCGCAGGTTACATTTGCTCAGTTTTATAGAAATTCTATCTGAATGTCAACTAAATGTAACCTTGTTGTGTTACCTCAGCTGGTGAATTCATGTAATATGTAGTCTATGGGGCCATGGCTAGGGCAAATTGGAATTATGTTCCTATGGTGGAGGCGTTAGGTTGGGATGGAAAGCAGGATAGATTTAGTGGAATTAGTCAAGGTGTTGAAGAGGGGAGCTGGGACTCTATTGAACTCTCAGTAGCCTCACCAAGACCCAGCTGCATGTGAAACCCCATCAAAGGCTGTTGAGTAATGACCCCCACTAAGGGCCATCATTACAGAACAAAGCAGTGCATCAGCGCTTGTGTGTTTGTGTCGATGGAGCCGTGCAGAAGAGCGCACACATGCATTGACAGTGTACACAGTATGTTTGTGTCTGTGTTTATCAGTGTGAGTTATTTTGAGAGCATCCTGAGCTGATAAGGCACTGGAGTGATGAGTAAACATCATTATTCCTCATTCTGCCTCTACCTCTAATTGAACTGTAGCCTATTATCAGAAGAACACATGTACTGTCATCTCCTTTCATCTCCGGGTAAAGCACAGACATGATTAGACATCACAGAGACACATTACCTTTCCATGGTACCCACATTAATGCTGAGACACTGATCATTAGGAGCTCGGAGGATCTAATGATGGTGTTACATTCTAGACTAGAATACTTTTAGGATGTGTATTTATAAGGTGGAAAAACCTGACTTTACAGGTATAAATAAACCAAAAACATAATTAGATGTGTCAGTGAACTTAGCATCATCTCTTCATGTTACAAATATGTGAAGTATTCTTAAACATGAAGTAAAAAGGGCATACTCGTAAATAAATAAATACATTTTAAATAGGTTCAAGCTGAAATAAGAGGGCAATGGTATCCACAAAACTATAATTGTTGTTTCTATTTTAGTGCACTGCGTGAAGATCTTCAACATCCATCCTTACCGTTACATGGGCCCGGTGGTTTAGGGAGAGGCCTTGGGGTATCTGTTGCCGATGCAGGAACGCTTTTCAGGCATCACATCTCACATGGAACTCCAAATGTGTGATGGCACTGACCCTTCAACTTTTATTTGACCTCTAATCCATGGGGGCCAAATTCAGGGGACCACAGGGGAGCTTGTTTGCTCTTATTTTAATAAGACATGAGCTACCCTGATAACCTTATTTGTGAAATGTTGTGGGTCTCTAAAATATTGGCAGTATATTCTTTTCATGTCATGCAGTTCTATTTATTTGCTTCTCCATCATAATGGATCATGAATATGATTAGGGTATTTTGATCTATAATTCATGCATCATCCTCCAAGCCTGACCTAGAACATCAAAAACCTCACTTACGTTCGACCAAATTACCAACATTTCTTTTTTTATCCCCAAAGTGAGCTCCCCTCAAAGATATTGTATAGTTTACACTCTGCTCTGACCTATTAACTGTTATGGTGTCTGAGTCTTTACCTCTGTGAGCTCTACTTAAATTACCCTTGACTCTTGACCTTTAAAATTACCCCTGATCTCGTGCTGCCAGTTTCAGTTTGTATTTTTACACTTAGGTTTTTATACAAAATGTAATAATCTATTCAATGATTATAATTATAAAGTTAACTGAAAGATAGTATAATAACTCTTGCATCCCTTTTACTTCTCTTTTTCTGCTGAAAACATGTGACCATCCTCATCACGATAACTCATTTTACCCCATTTATGTAACCTTTGTATTTGAATGACGAGATAAAAACTTACTTTCATTTCTGCTTTTGATTAAAATAGACAATTTAATCAAAAGCAGTCCAGTATGCTGTTCTTAGTCTATCCAATAACCCAGTTGGAAGTAAAATGGAGTCTGGATTGGTCATAACAATAGTTTTCCAATATGTGAGGTGCTAGGAAAATTCTGGCTACTGACCTTTTTTATCTGTAATAAAGCTTAATTGCATAATAATCAGCTGTAATGATAGAGGAAGGGCCCTGCTGCCTCAGTTAGATAACTGCCACATGTACAGTTTTAATGTAATGAGTACTACAAACCAAAAGATGGCGCTGCCTTGCAACAAAACTGTCAGTTATCTAAAACTTGGTGATCAGTCTTTCTAAAAACCTATTATCATGAGGTATAAATAGTACAAAAAGTATAAAAAGTATAAACTGTAGTACTTTATGATATCTCAGGGAGGAAATAATGACACATCTGTACTTACAAAGCACACATTTAGCACATTTCCAGTTTATCATATTATAGTTTTAACCAGTCCATCACTAATAAATAATCAATCATCACAAACACACATGGTTATTATAGCATTTAAGGGATTTAGGTTGAGAAACAGATCATAGAGTCAGCTATAAGACCTAGACACAACAGGTTGTGAAAAGTTTATGAAAACTCTATTAGTAGAGTAACTAAGTCTTAAGTATGAGGACATTAACAGTGTTTCATACTTGTGGACAGAAGAGGAAAAGTACTTTAGAACAAGTAGAAGAAGTACCAGAGTGTCAGTGTAGGATATCCTGCAATCAAAATGTTACTAAGTAAAGCTGAAAAGTATCGGTATCAAAATATACTTGAAGTACCAAAAGGAAAAGTACTCATTATGCAGACTGGCCAATTTCAGAATAATATTGTATATGTTTTGATAATAATGACTGATGAATTAAAGTGTTATCAAAGTTGGTAAAGGTGCAGCTCGTTTTAATTATACTGCAGGGTAGTGTGTGGGTTTACTCCAGGTGTAACTAAAGTTTTATTTAAGTGTTGCTCATATTTCACATCATGTATCCAAATATGCAAAGTGACTTAAGATATAAAATAATTGTAGTGGAGTAAAAGTACACTATTTACCTCTGAGTAGTAGTGGACTGTGGAGTAGTAGAAGTAGAAAGTAGCACACAATTGAAACTCAAGTAACGTTCAAGTACCTCAAAATGACTTTAAATACAGTACTTGACTCAATTTACTTAGTTGCTTTACACCACTGCATGCGGCTCAAAATGTTTTGTAGAGCTATGAGGGCATGGATTGAAGTCGAACCCATGGGTTGACCCCAAGGCTGAGTGATCTGCAGCCCTATGGTCTGTGACGCTGAGGGCTGGTCTATGGAGTATACTGGAGCGTGCAGTTGCTCGAATGGGAGTGGGCGAGCTGGGATAGGCTGGGAGTTTGGTCGGAGCCGTCAGCGGGACGGGACAAGGCACAAGAAGGGGGGCAAACGAAGAACCGACCGACTATTAACTTCTGCCTTCTCAGCGGCTGAATGTTGGACAGGAAATTTGACGTAGACAGCTTTACGGAAAATACCATTTGTTGCATTCAGAGGTCCGGGTCTGAGCGGCGCGGATGACAAAGAAGCGTCCCCGTGCAAACTTTCTCAACCGGGTGTGATCGCTGTTACCCAACCGGGAATTCTTTTATTTTTATCGGAGGAGTAAAGAAGAGGACATCATGCCTAGGCGCACCGTGCAAGAAGTAACAGTGCAAGATGTCCAGAAAAGGAGAAATCCGAACAAACACTACGTAAGCCTAAATTATTTATCACAACCACACTGATTTGCTACTAAAGTGAGCGACAGAAAGAGGTTATTTTGCTGCTTTTCTTCCTCTCCTACCCGGTAGAGTAAAAACAAAGAGAGTGTCAAATTACAGTTTACCTAGCCAGCCGAAGCGATCTGTTGTTTAATCTTTAGACATTTCATGATTCATAAAGAAAACACCACAGTACCAAACAGATGTGTTACATTCCTACAACCCATAAGACATTTAAACAAGTTTGATAGTCGTAAACCGTTATGGTCTTGCTTATAGTTTTGGCTTTTTTTCAAGTTGACATTTATCTTACACCTAATGGGTTAATCACTTATTTGTTTGAGTTTGAAATGTAACCAGCAACTTCTTAATTCAGGAAACAGTGATGTTGTTTTGAGTAACGTTAAACTCATGTGACATTTGACCCTCTCTGTCTGCATGTATACATTCAATTAACTATCAACAGTTCAGTTGCCTATCACATGTTTACATGAATGTAGGTATTGTATTAATTCTGCCAGAGTCTGCAGCCTCGATCAACAAAACAATTTAATTTCTAGGTCCTGCTGCCACTGGTGTGCCACCAGAAAACATTTGAATAGGCAAACCAGTCCAGTCCACAGACATCCAGATTAATCCCCATGAGTTTAAATTGAGCAACAGCTTTGTCATGCCTCAGCCACATCCAATTTACTCATAAAAACATGCCTTCAGGCACTGGCGAACCAGGAAGTAGGCTAACAGAGTTTCTTAGGGCATCACAGTGAACACAAAGCAATGTTTGAAAAAGGATCGGGCCTAAACAGCAAAAACCATATGCCATGTGGCATTTGTAATTTCATTACCTCAGTGTTACAGTGCAGTAGGCTTTATTATACTTTTTATTTTATGTGTGTTTTAGGTCTAGGGCATGTCTGCTAGTCACTTTTATTGATAGGCTACTTATGAAGATTTCTGGTTTGGGTGTTGTCCATGTTTCAGTCTTGAAACGTTCACACTTTCACCATGTGTTTTCAGTTTATTGAAGTTAATTGTTACATTTCCGTCCCTTACATGTCTTGTTTAGTGTTGTTCAGTGGTACTTAGCTCCACCCTCACATGCCTCTTTTACAGTTCTAAAAAAACGAAATGGCGAAGGCCAATACGCCAAACAAGTCGACTATGTCCAATTATTATACACAGGCTATGGTTCTTCCCAAAACTTTGTGTGGGGTCACAATAAGAAAGTACAATAAGAGTCTGTTGATATTTTTCCTGTTACAACAGTAATTCCCCATTGGAACTGCAACCCCAATTGTGTGGGGGACAAGAATGTCTAAAAGACAAAGACCGTCTTCTTGCTTTCTGCAATTTTGAAACAATGTTGGTCTCATTATTTTTGCCGTTTAAAAGTATGTGGGTGAATTTTTCTACAGAAATGCACGCAGTTAGTTGGAAGTAACACGACATCATATGATCTAGAAGGCCAATCGTGAGAGCCACTGCCAAGGCCATAGCAGGTGTTAGTGTTAGTTCTTTGTGCATGGTGTGTGTTCTGTATTGCATATGTGGGTTTGCCTCCATATATGTGTGTAAATGATGCATTATACCGCTGTGAGTGTTAGTGGTCAAGGACACAGAGTTCTCGAGGTCCTGTGTCCTCTCCATCTGTCTGTTTGCTCTGTGGTGCAGCCCATGTTGTTTTGTGCTTCTGGTTCTCTCTCTCTCCACACATGCAAGCGGGACATATTACATCTTCCATAACCCTGGAGGTGTGGTTAAAGTTTACAAAAAGCAGCTTATAGCTCTTCTGCTCATCAGAGTTGAACCAACTCTATAGAAAGGAAAAATGCTTGAAAATCTAACTCCTAAGAGACCTACAGATTAATATTATGAATATTGCATTTCCGGTATTAGTATTTTATTGACCAGAGACGTTTATATAGTTTAGGTTATAGCCACCCCTTTCCTCCATAGAGCTATAGCCTATGGCTTATATTTGCCATTGTAGATGTTGTTCTGGTAAATTAGAGAGCCTTTTTATATTTGGATATACTGAGCCAAGGATACCTTTTGTGTATACAATTGTTCTCTCTGATGTAGCAAACAGTTTTTAGCCAAAGAAAATGCCCTGAAAGTAAAATGTTTTCATGTTGGATACAGATGTATCCATTGGCTTAAGGTTAAACACACCAATACATCATTCTTTATTTAATGAATACAGGCTGGTCTGCATAGCTTCTGTAGTGGATCCATCCATGGACATATCTAACAAAAGTGCCCTGAAAGAGAGTGAGCGAGGCCAGAGAAGGTCTGGGAGAGGGGCCAACACAATTCAGCCAGACACAGCAAGCCATCAGGGAGTTTCCAATCACCTCCCTGCTTCTCCCCTAGTCTTCTTTGGAAATCAAAATAAAGAACTGTGTCTGTTCCCTGTAGACTGCAATGATTAGGCTAGATGCTTTTCTCTGGATATTTAGTTTAACCTGGTATACTGTTGCTGATGGAATTTGCACAAAATAACTGTGTTTTAAATCACTTAGTTCCACATAGGTAGCAACAACTAATATCTGTATCCCAATGGAGTCCCAGGGTAGATGCTTTTCATTGGATATTTAATTTGACCTGGTATACTGTTGTTAATAGCATAAGGCTGATGGAATTTGCACAAAATAACTTTGCTTTCATTCACTTAGTTCCACTTAGGTAGCAACAACTAATATCTGTATCCCAATGGACTTAAAGCATTTTGCAATGTACCTAAAAATGTGAAATATTGAACACAAGGCAAAGTCAAATCTGCTGCATTAAGGATAAGGACTTCCTCTTCAGCAGGAAGCGACACAAATAAGGAAATGAAATAATCGGATATCCCAGATGCCTTTGTGTGAACAGATGTTGATAGTGACTGCAGCCTTTCGTCATGCCATCCTCTCTTAGAGTCACAGCACTGCCAATTACTGGCACCATGAGTCATGACTGATGCTCCGGGGGGTTTGCATTGTCAAGTGGTTGACAATAATAGCTGCCTGTTAGTTTAAATGTTCCACTAATTTGTCTCTTTTGTTTTTACAGGTTTACATCATCAAAGTGTCCTGGAGCGATGGCAGTACAGAAAGCATTTTCAGACGCTACAGCAAGTTCTTTGACCTCCAGGTGAGTAAGAGTGCATGTGTCACTGTTTGGCAGTGTGTCTTGGTATGCTATTGGCTGTAGTTGTGTGTGCTGTTGCATGTATAAAGACAAGGAGACAAGTTCTATCTTTTCCATCATTGAAGTCTCGCATAAAACAGGAAGTGAATGGAGGTACTTTCTACATTCAACACTGTCCCCATGTAGACCTAGTGCTGGTAGCCAAGCTATCCCTGCTCCACCCTAACAACACTGGTAATTATATTGTGCGTGAGGAGTCGGAAAATGTCCCAATGAAGTTAATAGAGGACAGTGATGAATGTGTCCACCGCACTGATGACCACAGAAATGTCTGAATCATTCTCGAACGTCACGCTGGCAGTGTGTGTTGCACAAGGAGGGAATCTCATTAGTATACTAGCTTCCCTTCCTCTTTCAAAGGTAATGGATCTGAGACCCTGGCCGCATCTAAGCTTAGAGAACATAGACTTAAGGAAACGCAGAAAGGCAACCGTTTCTAATGAGCACAAAGTCAATAAAGGCAAAGCATACTGTCAATCCTAATTGGATTACATTCCTTTTAATAGATTAGGATGGTCAAAGCATGAGCAATGAATTCAACAATTACAATGCTCTACCAAGGTTTCTCTGAGGATGCAAGTGTCATGTTAACCAGAGGAATATAAAAGGTTTCATTACTAATTTCATTAAAGTTTGACTTAAGGCTTCTGAAGCTGCCAACAGTCTTACTTATAAATCGACTGATACCACACTCATGATTATTTTTTCAATTCTAGCATCTATCGATTGTTGAAATCATGTTAAGTGCTGTAATGTGCTCTTTAATGATACAAATTTAAGAGGTATTCAATCATCCATGCCCACAGTAGAATAACTTTCAATCATTAAGACCTGCACCAAGAATTCAATAACTTGATTCTTCTGACACAACAACCAATTCAAAATGTGGGACTTTTGGACTGGAATTTAGGCAGAACAGTTTTGTCATTGGCTTCTGTATCATTCTTTCAATTACATAAATATAATAATTGTTTTAATTTATTTAAATATAACCTTAAGTAATTCAGATTTGGTAAACATTCACAGTGTTGATAATTCAATACATTTTGTCCAGTCATAGCATTGATTTGCTTTTGATGTCTCTGGCTCAATGAGGGCTTCAAGACTCTGATAGTGCTGTGACTTATAAGATGAGAAAATTGGTAAACTTTCGAATAAGCGGAGGAGATTGCCGCCAAACATCAATAAGAGGGAAGTTTTCTTTGCAAGTGCTGGAAAGTGAGATTTAAAGCCAGAAATCAAAGCAGCTGATAAATAATTGCTGCTTCAGAATGGATCAATGACTGTACATGTTGCCAGTGTTATGCTAGCTGTCACCAATGACTATTAACAATATCATTCCATGTTTGTTTCATCTATAGAACCAGCACAAATGACTACTTACGCTAGGCCTTTTAAACAGCAATCGAATCAATGGCATTGAACCAAATGACCATATGTGAGATATTTTCAGCAGGGGCATTCCCCGCTGGTGTTCACCCTGCCATGCTTTGCAGCTGCTTCCTGCAGAGCTGACTGGCTGTGGGTGGGCTCTCACCAGTGAGGGAATTTTAGTTAAACCCAACTGCGGATAATACAAGCCAATCTCTTATCTTGTGTTAGATTTGGCATGACAAAAAAGTGGCCTGTTGGAATGCTAAACATCACTTCAGCTTCTTCACTATGATAAAGGGATTTATTTTAAAGATATTTTTTAACATAATATTTAATAATTGTAACCTGGCACAATGTATTCTATTAGGAGAAATAAGGAAGTGGTGTGGCATCATCAGAAGTCATCCCAAGTAGCAAGGGTAGTGACTTAAGGAGTCATTCAGCTCCTCCTGTTACCATTTCTTCATATCCTCTCATCCTCGTCGCATTTCCCGTCTTCTCTGGTCATCATCTCTAATTCGGTGTCTATGCTGTTTGCTGCTTCAAATGAAGTTTCAATCGTCATACGGAAACCTCAGAGCCAGACAGGAAGTGTTATTCACCACATCCCGTCAACACAGCTGAACCAAGCAGCTGATGCTCAACCACGCTGCAACATGTGCTTTGTATGTGATCACTGACCACAGCATGTGTTTATGCTCTCAGTCTGAAGGGAATAGGATTTTTGGATTTTCAAGGGAGTCTGTACTCAGTCTGCATTTTCCATAAATCCACAAGCATTTTTTTGATTTGGATGGCATTATATCAGTTTTATAAACAGATCAAATCAAGACCAAGTTGGAGTAAGCAGAGTGATCCATTACCATTTCAAAAAAACTATCTACAAGCAGACTATACATGTCTAGATATATTTTTAGACTAATCAGTCAGACAATCCTCCACCCAAAACATTTTTAATTCACACGCACCTTTTTCCTGCAACACCCACATCAGTGTCTTAATGTAGCTGCTACCCTTAAATAGCATCCGAGAGTTACGTAGGTGAAATATTCTGTGGTAGGAAATAATGATTGCCCGCACTTGTGCATACATGTCTTTAATGCAAAATGTGTGTGAAGTCTTCCAAGCATTTGAATACTGAGATAATGAATTAAGCAGTGAGCTTTTCAACATAAAGTCATTTTTCTTCCTAGTTTAAGTCTAGTAAATTGTGAACAAAAATAGACTAAACTGTTTCTTAAGAAAGATGGAAAGTGCAGAGATATTTTTGCCATGGGTTTATCAATTTTATTTCCATGTCACTAAGAATAGATTCCATGCTGCACACGTGTCCACTCAACTTCACAAGCTCAGTCTTCCAGCAGTCACTTTGGATAAACAGTACTTTTTAGATTTTCAGCTGTAGGAAAAAATCCAATATATTGCTACTTTCTTATTCAGGGCTGCACAGCTGTGACACATTTTCCATCTGCAATAATAAAGTAACAAAACGTATTAAAGGGCAGAGGTCATTTTGCTCGAACTATGGGGATGCTTGTTGGGCTCATTCCATCAAGCAGCAACATTGTGCTCAATTCCTTCTTGTACACATTTTCAGCCTTTTCAAAATATGATGTACTTAAAGTATTTTTTATTCCATAACCCAAAACATGTTTTTTTATTGAGAGAATGTTAAAATGTTGGTATGTTTCTAAAGTTCTGTTTAGAGTACTTGTATGGGAGAAATATTCTGACTTTAGTTACTGTGGACAAAATAACTGCACAGATTAAATCAATGCTCTTCTTTACAGCTGCAGGGATTAGGTCACAGCAAGCAACTAATATGTTTATTTGAAAATGTAGAAATAGGCTAAGTATATTTTCCCAGTGTTTGTGTTTTTTCCAGTAAATCAGACTATATTGCACCTTTTTTTTTCTGAGTAGCCACAACTCAGTATGACACAACTGTCATGGTGGGAGAAATATCCTTAAACCAGTTATGCCCACCTTTATTAAGTAAACAGGGAGACTATTTCCAAATTGAGAAACCAGGGTCAAGCAAGTTTATTTGTACTTGAGAAACACCGAACTACAACCAGACCCTTGAGGTGTCCTGTTTAGCTGACCTTTGGCTGTGACCTCTGGAGGTGGCAATGTAAAAAGAAAACAGCCCTACAGGGACTAAGCACAAGTCAAATTGTTTATAACATATCTAGACTGACCACACTATATATTCTCCATAGCCTTGGGGTTTACTATTTGCTAACATTTGCATATACTATTGGTTAAAGTAAATAAATATGTTTATCAGTCTATCAATGGGATAATGAGGAGTTATTTGTACTACTTACCTCATTGGTGGACTAACAACTTAGCCTGCCATTAATGTGATGTACTGCATAACTGTATGGTTGTCTGTAAAGGGTTAAAAATGACCTCAATCATGAATGTACAGTGGACTGGGTGAAAGCTTCAGAGGACTACTGAGATAGGCATGTTGCAAAGAGAGCAGCCATTGTTCTTTTATACTCTCATTAAATGGTGTCTTGTTCGTCTTAGATCTTCTTTACTACGCGTTTATTTGAAGACTGATGATGTGGTTTAAGCGGATATAGACTAGACAAATTAAAGCCCCCTTGGAAGATTATATTCTTGAATCTACAAGTTGGTGTATTCATCAAATAAACAGTGTGTTCAAGTTTACAGCATTACTGGGAAAATGAAAAATCTAGTAAAGTGATAATGAAAAGGGTTTTCCTTTCTTCATTACATCCCTGTACTTGGTTTGTTGGTCTAACTGTAATCAATCAATTACTAAAATGTTCAAGTCTCAACATTGTTTTTATTAGTGGCAGAATCAACATAGACACATTAAAGCACATTTAAGTGCAATTTTATAATGGTTGTGATTCATTTCCCCTGTCGCTTGTATGTGCAAATGCAATATAGTTGACTTTCTCATTATGTTAATGTTAATGTTTGGGGACAATGTCAAGAATTACCCTCTTGCCTTAACAGTTTATCTTCAAAGTGCTTTTACATTTTTTTACATTTCCATGACAGATGATAGCTTTGCTGAATATTGATATATTTGTTTTAAATAAAAACAATATCTCCTCATCAGGCCATGTTGAATGAGAGAATGCATCTATGAGCCAGTGGTACTTCCAAATCAACTAGCTTTCTTTAATGTAGCATTGCAGCTAGGTTTTTAGTTTAACTAACAATTTAATATATTCTGACAGCATTGGCATACTTTCAGATCTGATACGCTCATGTTATCATTTAATGTAATCAGTGTGTGATGTCCACAAATGACTATCGTACTAATGTGGCATGCTTCTTCCTCTGAAATGAACTCAGAAGGATACAGTTTACAATAACATACTTCAGAGTAGCCTTGGAATGCCATGTGGAGCTTGACTACGCTCCGCCTTGGCCTGTCATGCCTGTAGAGCATGCATATTTGATGTTCGGCACATGATGTACCTGGTATTTTGAAGGGACGTCTTTACTCACTCCAGATGCCTTTTCTTTTTTGAGTGGCTCTGATTACAGAGAAGATACAAGGTTTAGAGCAGACACAGAGA